CATCTGACTGGTTGCATTTGAATTGAGGCGCGTAATGAATAATGATACTGTTCTGTGATGATGTGCTGTTTTCTCTTTTTTTCCACATCCCATCGAGACCGCTATGTCCGAGACCAAGACAAGACCGAGACCAAATAGGGTCGAGACCAAGACAAGACCGAGACCAAATAGAGTTGAGACCAAGACAAGACCAGGACCACAAAAAATTGGTCTCAAGACCGGTCTCGAGAACTACAGCACTAATACATATACATATATACACATATACATATATACACACACACACACAAACACACACAAACACACACACACACACACACACACACACACACACACAGGTACCAACCATAGACAGGGTGACAGACACTTACACTCACACATATGATCAAGTTCAGCACTCAAACACTTGTGTTGCATATCTTTGGTCTGTGGAAGGGGACTGGACAATCTGGCATAAACTCACACGGGGAGAGCAGGCAAACTCACACGGGGAGAGCAGGCAAACTGACACAGGCCCTACTAATTATCGAACATAACTGGATTGGTCTGGGTCGACAGCCCAAAATGGGCACAGTACCCCTGATATTTAATCGCAAAAATTTGAAATATCACAATATGAAGATTTTCTAGTACCCTACTCTAGACAATACTTTCGCAAAAAATAATTATGTAGGATAATGCAGTAAGCGATGGGACTAGTTTCAGCAGCAATTATCTTGAGATACAGGAATCACAGAATGTAAATTAACCAAACTGATTAAAAGCAATGTAATAAAGACAAGCTAGACTACAAGAGAATAAGGGGCACATAGCTTATAGTTAGCTATGGCTAACCATGCATTATTGAGTGAGCCTCTCAAACCTGTCATATGAATGACCGCATTTTCCTTGGTTTTAAATGTGAAGTGCGTCAACCCAACTAAGGCTTTCACTCTTTGTTTAGACCCTCATCCACTATGCTCTGTCTTCATTTCACCATATTGCTAACAGAGATGGCAAATTTCAAATCAATGTTTTCGAGTTTAAGTAATTGCTAAACATAAATAAAAGTCATACAGAAACTGGGACCTAAACCAAAAATCACGTTTACTAGACTGCACTGAACAGGAGTGCGACACCCACAGGCAAATTTGTCCTCAGAACGTCCACTTAATAATAATCAATACTTTATTGATCCCCTTGGAGAAATTGTCTTTACACCTTCCTCAACTTGCTCTTTTTCATAGAGTAAGTTGTCCGCAAAGGACAGCCACCCATAGCGGCGCCCAGGGAGCTGGGGGTTAAAAGGCCTTGCTCAAGGACCAGCAGGCGCACTGAGGCTGGGTTTGAACTGGCAACCTTCTGATTGCAGGCACACAGGCTTAGCCCACTGAGCCACACGCTGCCCATCGGATCAGCTTCATCGGATAAAAGTGCGATTTATGTAACAGCCAGGAATATGTCACCTTTACTTTTAATAAGCCATCTACAAAAGTCTTTGGCTCTATTAGCTTTTACAAAGTTTTTCATATGTTATCACAGACGCAAAAAGCTGCAAAACAAGTGACTAAAAAACCATTTACAGATGAAAGATAAGACATGTGGTCTTACCAGCCGCCAAGACCTGATTGAGGAGATAACTTACAGAATTCTTATGAGAAATGCACATTATTGCACCTTCGCCAGATTACATATTTTAAAAGCCTATTTTGAAAACAGTCAAACTCACCAAAATAACTACCAATTATTTAATAAAGATAAGGCCTAGAATTTTTTTTTAACCTTTTCCAGACAACAGGATTATTTTCTCGATGCGCGCCCTGCAATGGGTTGGCGACCCATCCTGGGTTGTTCCCTG